GGGGTGTCTCTGTGTCAAGGTCGTCAATGAATATGGATTTGTTCGTTCTTCAGGATTCCAGAATCCTGCAGTGGGGAGGGATTCTCGCTTTGTGAATTTGCCAGGAACATTCGCAGAGTTGGTGTAAAAACCGAAGTAGCTGCGGATGCTGTCAATCAGGAACAGAAACAGAAGTTGCTGGAAAAGCTCAGCAGATCTGGCAGCATCTGTGGAGAGAAATCAGAGTTAATGTTTCAGGTCAAGCGACCCTTCCTCAACTTCCTTTGATTTCTCTCCATGGATGCTGCCAGATCTGCTGAGCTTTTCCAGCAATTTCTGTTTTTGTTGCAAAGTAGATGTGTTTGCCTCGCTGCACTTAGCAGCCCTCTCCCCATCCACTCCTGAAGGTCCTGAATGGTGCTGGAGTTCTCTTTGAGTACTATCATAACCAGGCTTGTTTCAGTCACACATTGAGCACATTTCCAGCAGTAGGGAGCTGGATAGCAATGAGGAGCAGATATCCTAGCTGATCAATCAGTCTTCCTTCCAGTACATGGAGTTCAGTGCTCTCTCTGACATGCTGGTTGTAGCCAGCTAGTTCATCACACATCCTGTAATCTTGCTAATGCATCTGCATTCAGTGGGATTGTACTTCCTCAGATATGGAAGATTAAGCCATGATTGTGTTGAAGTGTTTAAGACAATTATAGGATTTGACTGGGTAAATGTGCTGGGCGATGTCTGGAACAAGGAGGCAGAGAGCCACGCCATTTAAGAGTGATGTCAGGAAGTAATTTTTCCATACTAAGGGCAGTGGAAATCTGGAACTCTCCCCAGAAAGCTGTCGAGACCGAAGGCCAGCTGAAAATGGCAAAACTGGTATATCACAGAATCCCTACAGTGTGGAAACAGGCCCTTCGGCCCAACAAGTCCACACCGACTCTTGGAGCATCCCACCCAGACCCATCCCCCTATAACCCACCTAATCTACAGACCCCTGAACACGACAGGCAATTTAGCTTAGCCAATCCACCTAACCTGCACATCTTTGGACTGTGGGAGGAAACCGGAGTACCTGGAGGAAACCCACGCAGACACGGGGAGAATGTGCAAACTCCACACAGACAGTCGCCCAAGGATGGTCCCTGGTGCTGTGAGGCAGCAGTGCTAACCACTGAGCCACCATGCTGCCCTAATTAATAGTATTAATAGTTTTTTTCTGTTAGGCAAGCAGATTAAGTTTATGAATCCAAGGAGGTCCCTGAAGGTGCCAGGACAGGTAGACAAGGTGGGAGAGAAGGCTTTCCTTCATTGGGCAAGGTATTGCTTACAAAAAGCAGGAACATAATATTGAAGCGGTATAACAGACTGATTAAGCTAGAGTTTTGTATAGAGTTCTATAAAGAAAGATTGCATGTGCATCCAGTTGGTTGGAGAGTAGCCTCCTGTTCCTACAGCTCCTTACACCACTTACTTACTCAAAGGCCTTAGGGACCTATCACTTCCCAAAGGGGTGGCAGCAGAGGAATTTGTGAAGACCCTGCAGTGTGAACATTTATCAGTGCTGTATCTGCTCCTGTTTGTGTTGTTGGGACATGATCCCTTAAAGGAGCCTCATCCAAGATCCTATCGGACAAATTTCTGCCATATTAGCTTCGTCAGTAGAATCCTGTGCCCGATTCATTGAGGGTTGTTTACATTCGGGAATGAAGTGTTGTTTCATTCTTATCTCCGTGTCACTACTGAACGTTTTGGGGTCAGATGTCGGTCATCTCATGGTGCAAGGGGTATCATCCCTGCCTCTTAACCTGAGATTCAGGGTTCAATTCCTGCTCCAAGATGCCTTATTGAAGGTGTCCTTATAATATTGATTATAAATCTGCACATTCTTCCAACTGCAGGCGGTAAGAGTGAGAGAGCTTGCTGGTCAGCTACATGATGAATTGGAGCCTCTACCATCACTATCCATAGCTCTACATCACCTCCCACTGGGCTTGGGCCCAGCCTTGGCACATAAGACAACTCCTTCATCCTTGTGAAACTTCTCTCAGTTGCGTCAAATGCAAGTGTGTCCTTCCGTAGGTAAAGGAGACCACAACTCAGCAGCGGCACGGTGGCTCAGTGGTTAGCACTGCTGCCTCACAGCGCCAGGGACCCAGGTTCAATTCCACCCTCTGTGTGGAGTTTGCACATTCTCCCCGTGTTTGTGTGGGTTTCCTCCGGGTGCTCCGTTTCCTCCCACAGTCCAAAGATGTGCAGGCTAGGTGAATTGGGCAAGCTCTCTCACTCTTACCGCCTGCAGTTGGAAGAATGTGCACAATTGGGCGCGCTAAATTGCCCGTAGTGTTCAGGGACGTGTAGGTTAGATGGATTAGCCAGGGGAAATGCAGGGTTACAAGGTTAGAGTAAGAGATATGTCAGGGTGGGATGCTCATCAGAGGGTCAGGCTGAATGGCCTGCCTTCCATACTGTGAGGATTCTGTAAGTGTGCACAGAACTCCAGGTTTGTTGTGCCCATCCCTCTAGTGCTGAAGTATATCTACAGTGCACTATTGACTCAAACCCATAGAGACTACTGCCTCGAGGTGTATTCAGCCAGGGTTTGGGGAGGGGTCTGGTTCTGAAATCTGTCCCCCTCCCCCAGTACAAGGTTAGTGTCTAACCTGCTATCAACATCCCTTAACTTACACGGCTCTTCCTTCTCTCTCCCTCGCAGTGACCCTGGGCTATTTTGATGACATCCTCATCCCTCCAGAATCCCTGCAGCAACCTGCCAAGTTGTATCCTTCAGTGACTGGGAGACAGATCGTCCCCCATTTTTTGGGGGATGGGGGCGTGGCGGCGTGGCATAATCAACTGATCCTGGCGAGGAATAAAACCACACGGTGTTCTCGGTATTTTCAGGCCTGCTCCTACATTCCTAATGTCCAAAGCTTTTTCACTAGAATCTCGAGTGACTTTGGTTTAAAAGCATTCCACTTATCAGGAAATCCAAAACTATGCGCCATACATATAAGATAGTTGCTAATGACTACAGGTAATTTGAAAGAAATTTCTTTATCTACAGAGTGTTAAAACATTCCTAGAAGCGTTTGAGGTGAATACATTCATATTTGCATTATTATTCATAATCATATTTATAGACTAGATAGACTGGAATTATTTTTCCCCAGAGCAGAGAAGGTTGAGGGGCCTTTTGTACAAAGCTTTGAGGACGGTAGACAGGAGAAATTTTCCCTTTACGAGTAACCAGGACTCAGAGATTTCAGGTCAGGAGCAGGAGGTTTAGAGGTGATCTGAGAAAATAAAGCACACCCAGGGAGTGGTAGGTATCTGGGACTTGCTGCTAAAAAGTGACAGTAGAGGCAGGAACTCTCCACACTTTGAAGAAGTATTTAGATGAGCATTTGAAACGCTGTAGCACTGAAGGCTACAGGCCAAGCACTGGGAAATAGGATTAGAATAGATAGATTGATTGATTTATTGTTGTCACATGTGCCGAGATACAGTGAAAAGTGTTGTTTTACGTGTTATACAGGCAGATCATACCATACGAAGTGCATCAGGGTAGCAAGACAGAGTGCAGAATACAGTGTTATAGCCACAGAGAAGGTGCAGAAAGAGAGATCAGAATTGACATTTGAGAGGTCCGTTCAAAAAGTTTGATAACAGCGGAGAATGCTTGATGACCGGCATGGATGTGGTTGGCCAAAGGGTGCTATGAGAACTCTCTGACTCTATTTTAAAGGAAGTTAGACAAACAAAAGAGGGAAAGGAATAGGAGGATGTGTTAATGGGGTGGGAGAAGACTTGGCACAGATCACAAGGGGTGGAATGTTTTGTTTCTCTGCTGTGAAATGCCTTGCGATTCTAGAGGGTGCCTTCTAGCCAGTGAAACACCACAGGGTTTCCTTGACTGGGCTGGCAGTGATGAGACGGAGCAGGTGTGGGTGTGGGAGTACGAGACGGATGAGGGCACACATGACCTTTACATGGACGTCGGTGAGGAGGTCAGACTCCGGGTGGTGGACGAAACCTTTGTGGACACCTCCCCCACTGGGCCCAGCTCCACGGAAAGCTCCACCGCAGAGGAGACACAGAGGAAGGAGTCTCCCTACACGCTGACGGTAAGACGACTATTGATTAGTGCGGGGAGGGCAAGTCAGAACGGCCTCAGGATTTACCTAGTGCCTCCCTCAACTCCAGAACGTCCTAAAAATCTTTGCAGCCAATACTCCCATTAAAATACAAAGAAAGAACTGCGGATGCTGGAAATCAGCAACAGAAACAGAAGGTGTGGGAAATGCTGAGCAGGTCTGGCAGCATCTGTGGAGAGAAATCAGAGTTAAACATTTGGAGATAGTAGGAACTGCCGATGCTGGAGTCTGAGATAACAGACCCTTTCTGAAGAAGGGTACCGACCCGAAATGTCAGCTTTCCTACTCCTCTGATGCTGCCTGGCCTGCTGTGTTCATCCAGCTCCACTCCAAATCCACACAGTGTTATCTCAGAGTTAAATGTTTCCCTTCCTCAGAACCCCCTGTGAAATGTTGCTGTTGATTGCGTAGTTTTCCTGGAGTGTTGTTGTTTCACTGTTTTTGGCACTGCCATACACTCATGATATTTATAATGTAACAAGCCCTGTGCAGTGTGGTACAGTACCATCCAGCTGCTGCATAGTTAGGCAGTGTAACAGGAGCAGTGAATTAAGTCTTATTTTTACATTCAGTGTTATAATGTGGGCACTGCATGGACCAGATGACACAAAGCAAACTCCCACAGTCTAATAATGTCTAGATCATCTGTTTTTTTTGTTGAGGGATAAATATGGGCTAAGAAACCAGGGAGGTCATCTTCAAACTAGTCCTATAGGATTTTCCACTTCTGGCTGAGAAAGCAGACATTGCATCTGAAAGACAGCACCTCTCGTGGTGTATAACGCTGCAGTTCTGAGGGGAGAACATGGCGTAGTGGCAGTGTCATTGGTAATCCTCTGGGGAAGCAGATCAAACCTCACCACGGCAGCTGATGGAATGTAAATTCAGTTCCTAACTCTGGAAGAAAAGCTCGGCAGTGGTGACTGTGAAACTACAGTATCAGCGATCGTTGTAAGGTCCCATCTGGTTTGCAAATCCCCATTAGGGAAGGAAATTGGTCATATTTACCCAGTCTGGCTGACAGCAGCATTGGTTTCTCTTCACTTGTCTGCGCTGCTCACGCAGTTCAAACAGCAGTTGGGGATTGAGCAGCAGATGCTTTCCTTGCCAGGTGAAGTCCATAATCCCCTTTGGCAATAAATAAGGAAATGAATACAGGACGGCCCCAACAAGGAAGAAATGTAAAGTTTAATAGATCTGGTTAGCTGGGTCTGAGAGGAATGAGGAGAGCCAAGGCCCTTGAGTGAGTGTTAGGTGGAAAGGAGAGCGTTGGCTGTTAATGACAGTACCCAGCTCCTTTTGATTTGGAGGGACTGAGAATTGCATGGGAGAATTGTCTTTTGTCTGGAGCCTCTTGTTTGTTAGGTATGATGTGAGAAAGGCAGTAGCTGCTGCAGAGAGAGAGAGCCACACGCTGTCCTTCTGAATCTCCAAAGAGCAGAAGTAGGCCATTTGGCCCATCAGGTCCACACTGACCCTCTGAAGAGCATCCCGTCCCATACCCTATCCCTCCCATTGCTAACCTACCTAGGTCTGCACATCTGTAGACACAATGGCCAATTTAACATGGCCAATCCAACTAACCTGCACATCTTTGTGTGGGTTTCCTCTACAGCCCAGACACAGGAGAATGTACAAACTCCACACAGACAGTCACCCGAGAGTGGAATCGAACCCGGGTCCCTGGTGCTGTGAGGCAGTAGTGCTAACCACTGAGTCACCATGCTGGCCTGCTGGTGGACATAAAATGGACAGTACAAAAAAAACCGCAAAACTAAAATCCATGTATTGTCCTGAATTCTGTAGTGACAGCAATTAGAGGCAGTGTCACATCATTCACTGTCAGTCTGTGTTTCTTACTTTCTCCCTCTCTTGGTGTCCCATCCCTCTTCCTGTGCGTGCCTCTTGCTTCGTGTGTCTCCCTCTGTACCTCCCTGCTCACTACCCCCTTACAATACGCGAGTGTGTGTGTGTTCGTTTGGTGGGGGTGGGATAGGAATAAAACAGAATAAATGGGGAATCATTTTCTCCACGCCTCCTTTTTACACTTGGCCCCTATCTAATTATGGTTTCAAATTCATCGCAGGGCTCCATCAGTGAGCCAGGACTGGGGCTGCTGACCTGGTGGACGAATGGTTAATGAGCAGGACTGGAAGGACTCAATTGGGATGCAGTGGCAAGACGGTGGGGCCTGGTTGGAGCTGCAGCAGACTCTGGCCTTGCTTAGCTCAGTGATTCCTGAAGGATCCAATCTCCCGAGAACAGATGCTGGATGTTTAACCAGAGCAGGAAGCGAGCAAGATCTAGCAGCAACTGGGAATGTTTTCCTGACCAATAAATAAACGTGTACAAGCGGGAACATTTATTGGAAAGGCTTCCAGTAAGGAAGTATAGATTCGGTTGGTAGAGGCCATGTTGAGTGATGTGTGTCTTCACAACAGGCGATTTAAGTAAAGATGTTTGTGGAATGGATTCTGTTGTCGTTTTTAAGCAGTGTGCCCATTGCTGCTGAGGAATTGAGAGAAGCCTACAGTGTTCCAAAGCCAGCCTGGCTCAGCTAAGAGAACATTTGTCTATGAATCTGAAGGTCGAGAGTTCGAACCCAGCTCCTAGCCTTCAAAACGTTTGTTCAGGATCAGTGAGGGATTTTGTGTTAAATCAACGCTCTGTCTGTTAAAGATCATGAGGCACTTTCTGATTAAGTCTCAAACTGTGGCATCAAAAACACAACATGGACATTCGCCTCCTGGACGTATTGTGGGATATTGCTGTGTACAAAATGGCTGCCGCAATTTCCTGTACAGCCAGTTGCTATGAAACGTTTTAGGTAAGCTAAATGCAAGTCTTTCACACTCCAAATCCATCAGCATTTCAAAAAGTTTTAAGTGGTTTCACTTCTTCCTTCTCTCCCTCTCCTCCCCCTTACGATCTTGTATGTTTTGTTTAGATTGTTCCTTTTTTTTTCTAAACTCTAATCGTCAAAATTGCCCAACATTTCCTCATAAGATAGCCTGCTTATCCTCGGAATTGGTTCAGTGATCCTTCTCTGAACTACTTTGAATACAGTAAGCTCCTTCAGGCCAGGAGACCGGAACCACACAGTACTCCAAATGCGGCCTCACTAATGATCCATACACTTATAGAGAATTCTGACATCCTTTTGTCTTCCATTCCCCTGGCAGCCGCTCTCAGAAGGTCAGTTAGGAAGCTGATAGAATTCTTCCATTGCTATCTACCTGTAGTCCATTAAAGTTCCTGCTCTCATTTCCTATTGTGAATCCCACGAGCTCTATCGCCCCTGGATCAAAACTGAATCCCTTTCCCACCCAGTGAGACTGCCACTGCCTCCTGTGTTTGGTTGGGTCACTGTTTCCTGTTTATCAGTGATGGGATTGGCCTTGAGTAGTCCCTCTCAGGCAGCTGTCCCTGCCCGAGCTGTTCAGTAGGTGCTGACACTGTTTACCGCAATATAGGAACTACACTGAGCTTCAAGGAGGCTCCAACCCTGGTCATAATCAGAGGTCTGTTCATGTTAAGGCAGGATGGTGTTATTCTGGAGGCCACTTGCTCTTGACAACTGTCCAAGTGAACTGGAGGTATTTTCTAATCCGACTGTTCAACCATGGCACAACACCCCTCTGGAGCCCCTGCAACTTGAACCCAGGCCTTCTGTTCCAAGGGTAAGGACACAACCACTGCACCACAAGAGCTGATCGACGTGAGAATAGGACAGAATGGGTGTTCTCTGCTCTTCCATCCACTAGCCTAACTAGTGCTGACACTCGCTCAGACAATGTGTGTGAGGTACATCCGTGCACTAGATATCTTGATAACTAAGACTGGTTTGGGAGAGGTGTGTGTATAGTGGTGTGGGGTAGGGTTCAGAATCTTCTGTCTTCTCTGGAAACATTTGAAATTTATGGGTGGGAGGGTGGTGGATGGGGATACTTCCCTTTTTAGAGTGTGAGTGGGTGGGTGGGCCAGGCAAACCTGTGGATGGCTTTCCAGTGCAAATGCAAGTTGAGGCCCTTAAATGGAAACTAATGACCAAGGTTCGTCCCACTACTGTGTGTATGATCCAAGCTCAGTGTGTGTGCGTGTGCGTGTGTGTGTTTGGGGGAGGGCGGGTGCCGGTGGTGCTGCCTCCATGTGGCACATACAACCAGTAAACAAGTGGGGATTTCTGGCAAGAGAGGGGGGGCTCTGTCCTGAGGAGAGGTGATGGTATTGTGGTAATGACACTGGGCTCTAATCCAGAGGCCCCAGATTCATGTTCTGGGGACATGGGTTTGAATCCAATCGTGGCAACTGGTGAAATTTGTAATCAATAAAAATCTGGAATTAAAGAGAAATTGTGAATTTTTGTAAAAACCCATCTGGTCCACTAATGCCCTTCCAGGAAGGAAAGCTGCCATCCTTACCTGGTCTGACCAACATGTGACTCCAGACCCACAGCAATGTGGTTGACTCTTAACTGTCCTCTAGGCAATTAGGGATGGGCAAGGAACGCTGGCCCAATAAATGAATAAATAACAAAAAAGGGGGAACATAGTATCAGGGAGAGCAGAGTAACTGGGAGCCACTGCCTGTGTTTGTTGTTGATCCCCTTGTTCCACACTCTGTGAAATATCTTCCTGTGTGAGTTGTCTGTGGCATCACGACCTGGGTCCACCCCTGGCTGGCAGGATGTAGTTAGCTGCCAGCTCTCAGCAGGCACAGTCACCACACCGAGGGCAGGAGCTGCTGGTCACTGGTGATGGGGGAGATTATACTTTCACATCCTGCTTAGCCTAATCTCACTCTCTTTGAGCACTCTGATTCCTCACTGTGCCACCAGTCTATTGCTTCTCTACTGATCAATCCATTTCTCTGGTCATCTTATGTCTCCCTACTCTGATTCCCCCATAACCTTTGCACTTTTCCCTTGACCAAAGTTTCGAGATATTCCATCTACAGCAACTTCCCTCTTTGTCTTCACCTGTTTTTGCCTCTTTAAAACCTACATCTCCTGGTGGTATGGTCTCCCCACCTCAGAGAAACAGGAAGAGGCCATTCAGTCCCTTGAAGCCACAGCACCATTCAATTCAATTATAGTTAACCACATTGCTGCCTTTGGTTCAACTTCTTTGAGATGACCAGGGGATAATTTGCAAGGTGAAAGACAATTTGTCATTGTGCCACGGACAGTAGGGGCAGTTGTGTGGTCGTTAGTTCGGTGGAAGCATTCACAATGTTGTTTTGAACAGTGGCATCAATCCATCTCAATGATTGGTAAATGCCACAGCTATAGCCGCTGAAATTGGGCAGAGAGAAAATGGAAGAGCTTGTTTGTAGAGATAGTAGGAACTGCAGATGCTGGAGAATCTGAGATAACAAGGTGTAGAGCTGGATGAACACAGCAGGCCAAGCAGTATCAGAGGAGCAGGAAAGCTGACGTTTCGGGCCT